TCTAGTCCCATCAGGCCGCAGCAAATCTTCACCTTCTCAGGTGGAACAGCCTTCGTCAGGATGTCTGCAGCGTTGTCCGCAGTAGGAACGTAGGCTGGCGCAATCACACCAGCCTCTACCTGGTCCCTGAGCCAAAAGAAACGAAGATCGAGATGCTTCATGCGCCCATGGTGCTCTGGATTCTTGCTAACTGCAACAGCCGACTGGTTATCGACACGGAGAATCGATGCCTCAGACAGGGAGTAGCCAAGTTCAGTGAGCAAATTGCGCATCCAGACGATCTCCCGGCCCGCATCAACGGCAGCAATGAATTCCGCCTCTGTGGTCGACTGTGCAACCAGTCCCTGGAGCTTGGAGCTCCAGCTGATCGCTCCAGAGCCAATGCGCAACACATATCCACTCGTGGACCGTCCATTGTCCGGGTTGCCTGCATGATCAGCATCACAGAACGAGGTAAAGAGCTCCTTGGAGTCAGTGGGACCATAGACGAGTCGATAATCCAGGGTGCCTCTCAGATAGCGAAACAGATGCTTCACAGCCTTCCAGTGCGCAATCCCAGGATTCGAGTTGAAACGGCATAGGACAGAGACCGTGTGGGCGATGTCAGGACGAGTGGCGAGTGCAAGGAACAGCAGGGAACCGACAGCAGAGATGTAGGGAACCTTCTTCATATACTCCTTGTCCTCAGTCGATACAGGAGCCATGGAGACAGAGAGATTGGTGCCAGGGACCATAGGGGTCTTCACAGGGGTCGAGTCGGCCTGTCCATAACGCTCCAGCATGTCTAGGATGTACTGGCGCTGGGAGAGCATCAGGCGACGATTAGGGCGATCCCTGGCAATCTCTATCCCAAGAAGAGCGGTAGTGGGCCCCAAATCGCGAAGCTTGAACGACCTAGAGAGCTCAACGACAAGATCATCGAGCAGGGACAAGGAATTCGACGCAAAAGTGCAGTCATCCACAAAGACAGGCAGAATGACCTTGACCTGATCCTTGGCATAGACATAGATGCTGTTGTCAGAGTAGATCGCCTTGAATCCCATGCGCTCCAATACCGCCTTGAGCTTCTTGTACCACAGCCGACTCGCCTGCTTCAACCCATACAAGCCCTTCATCAAGCGGCACACCATCTCAGGTCCTCCCTGCTCAAATCCTTCAGGCTGCTCCATGTACACCACAGTGTCCAGATCGCCATTGATGAACGCATGGGAGATGTCGACAGAGCGCAGGTGAAAGTCCTCGAGGGCAGAGAGAGCAAGGATGGCGCGAATGGCTGCAAACTTGGCTGTGGGGGCGAATGTCTCGAAGTAATCAAACCCAGGGTGCTGACTGAAGCCCTTGGCAATGAGACGAGCCTTGTAGCGCTCGACAGAGCCATCCATATTGTGCTTCACCTTGAAAACCCAACGAGAGCCAATTGCCTTGCAGCCCTCAGGGAGTGAAACAATGTCCCAGGTGCGATTCCGAGCATGAGCCTCCATTTCTTCCTCTGCCGCCTTCTGCCACTTATCTGCATCAGGGCGCTTCATTGCCTGACGATACGTCGAGGGCTCAGCCTTTTCAGCACCAGAGGTGAACAGGGCACGCTCGACTTCAGCCAGAAATGCGTCCTCAACAATGGGTTCCATCTCTGCCTCTCCAGAAGCATCAGGGGCGTCCTCAGCAGTGTTCGAATGAGCATCATTGTCTGCAGACAGTGTCCTAACCTTCCACCATTCCCCAGGAGCGCGACGAGTACGAGTGGAGCGTCGAGTAACAGATGGGCCTGGTTCAGGGGTAGCAGAGCGATTCCTGGAGCGCGTTCTAAGAGCAGGAGGTGGCGCTGGAATGACAGGAGGGGGAGCATCAGGAGGGACAATGGCAGGAGCAAGAGGTGGAGGAGGTGCTGGGTCTGCCACAGGATGATCCTGTTCGATGGGAGCATCTTCGAGGTGACCAGCATGAGGAGGAGCATCTGCTTCCCCCCCCAGAACCGGCACCGGATCCACATCTGCATCCCAAAGACTGAACAGAGACGAAGGAGGAGGGGTGGCAGACTGGGTGTTAGCATCAAAGTGGCGAGTGCCAGGGAAGAATCGCTCATCAAAGTCTGCCCTTTCCGAAATGATGACCTTCTGAGTCACAGGATTGTAGAACTTCCACGCCTTGTAGCCATCAGGATACCCAATAAACACGCACTTCTCCATATGCGATCCAAATCCATCCCTTTTGTCTCTCTGCATATGCACATAAGCCAGGCAGCCCCAGACCCGCAAGTGCGAAACGTCTGGCTTCTTCCCATGGACCATCTCAAATGGTGTCTTGCCCTTCAGGGTAGACGTCCAGAGTCGATTCCAGACGTGCACATAAGCGGCCAGAGCCTCGCCCCAGAAGACAAGCGGCAAATGCGATTCAGAGAGCATAGCAGTGAGGGCCTCCATGATAGTGCGATTGGCACGCTCTGCCACGCCGTTCTGCTGTGGCCGATTGCGCGCCGTGTGCCTCCTAGCGATCCCATGCTCCAAACAAAACGAGTCCCAGGCATTGGACATGTACTCTCCTCCCTTGTCATCCTGTAAAGCCAAAATGCGCTGTCCAGTCAGGTTCTCCACATAGGCCTTGTAGCGCTTGAAAGCCTCAAACGCGTCGCTCTTCAAGCGCAGGACATAGACCACCTTGAGCTTGGTGAACTCATCAATGAAGGTGATCCAGTAGCGCATTCCAAAGTGAGTTGCAACAGGGAGAGGACCATGGAGATCAGAGTGGACGAGTTCAAGCGGTTTGGAGGTCACAGAGCCAGTGGAGGGGAAGGGGTGAGCGTGCATCTTGCCAGAGAGACAGGGTTCGCACACAGGGTCAGGCTGCACATCCGAATCGAGCTGTAGGCCAGTAACGAGTCGTTCCTTCACCATCCTCTGCATTCCAGCATAGTGGTGGTGGCAGAGACAACGATGCCACAGGGACAAGTCAAGAGGGAGAGTAGAAGTGGCACCAGCAGACTGCAAAACAACGGTGGATGTGGTCCCTTGAAGATATGCGTTGTTGGAACCATCAGGAACGATTGCCATGAACCACACTGCACCATCCCGGGAGAAATGCATCGAAGATCCTTCTATTAGCACAGAGAAGTGCTTGTGCTGAGTCAAATACAGCACAGACAGGAGATTACAACCGAGATCAGGGACATGCAGGACGTTTGAGAACTCCACAGACTGCGCCCTCTTGCCTCCAACGACAGGATTGAACACCACAGTCCCAACACCAGCAGAATAGATGACAGATGAGTCTGCAAGACGAATGGGGACGACAAAGGGACGATAGTTGCGAAGCCAGTGGCGATGGGGTGTCATATGAGAGGTCGCACCTGTGTCCGCATTCCAATCGAGGTCAGTGACGAGTGAGGGGGCTGTGGATGAAGGGGATGGAGCAGGGGAACGAAAACTTGCATTGCCTGCAAACTGCATGGGACCAGAGGCTTCAGGGGCCTGAACCGAGTGGGCCTGCTGTGGCTTGGACTTCTTCAGCTCCTCATTGATCCTCTTGAAGCACCTGTCATCAGTATGGCCAGTGGCACCACAGAAGTTGCACTTGTACTGCTTCCTGGGTGGCCTAGAACGTTTGTAGGAGGTGGAGGAAGAGGGAGATCAAGGAAAGGATGCCACAAGGGCCTGTGCAGAGTCTGTGGGATCAGAACGACGCGCACATTTCAAATCCTCGCGCCTGAACTCGTCCTCGAGCTTGGAGTGAGACAAGACGTCCATGAGACTGAGGGAGGAGCGGAAGGTGTCAAACTCAGAGGGGAGAGACCACAAGAGGGCCATGCAAGTGAGCTCCTCGTCCTGCTTCTTGAGATCGAAGCCAGAGTCGCGGAGGTTCTTCAGGACGCGCATAGACTCGTCCACACGATGAATGAGGGACTGGAGGCACTCATTGTTGCGCTTCTTGATCGAGAAAAGATCCTCCATCGCGTTGAAACGCGATCCAGCAGACTTCTTGTTGAACTGCTCCTCCAGTGTGGTCCAAATAGCGATGGGGTCGTCCTCAATGCCATCCAAGACGCCTCTGAACCGGTCCTCAACTGAAAGTAAGAGCGCACCAGCAGACTTCTGAGCATTCCTCTTCCACTCTGCCACCTCCCTTGGGTCAGTAGGCTTCTCCTTTGTGCCAACAGGGGCTGTCTCATCACCAGAGACCAGAAGCCACAGGCCTTTGAGACGAAGCCAGGCCTTGATCTCCTTGGACCTTGATCTCCTTGGACCAGGAAGGATAGTTGCGATTATTGAGAGGGGAGATGGAAGGGAGAGCAAATGAGGGGTCAGACATGGTGTGGCACGAGTGGCACAAGGAGGGAAAGGTGTTGGAAGCGATGTGGGACGATAGAAAAGGCAGGTAAGGCAATGGGGAAGATGTGGCAGCAATGGGGTGTGGCCAGAAAGGTGTGGCACAGCAGATGGGAGACCAGAAAGTATCGATAAAACGATGTAGAGCAAAGTCGCTAGAGTGCAGGGCCCATAACCTGTTGAGCGCAGTGACAACGAAGCGACTGGCACAGAGAGAGTGCCAAAAAGAAGCTCTATAACGACAGGACTGTGGTCCAGAGGGTAAGAGTCTGAGGTAGATACAAAGAACAGAGGAGAGCACACCTGTGGTCCAGAGGGTAAGAGTCTGAGAAAGAATCGCCCTTGGACCACAGGTATTTAAGCTACACAGAATAATAAGAAACGAAATAGGAAGGTATGACATCAACGGGTCATTACATGTGAAATATCTTACAAAGCGGTCAAAAGCTCCACCTGGAGCTCGGTCCGGAGTGTCAATGACATCACACCGGACCGCCTCAGCCGGCTAACCCGGTGAAACAACTGAAACAAGGTGAGACAAGGTGAAACAAAGTGAGACAGTCCAAATGGAGAAAGAAAGCAATATACCCGTTGTGGGAACGGCTGTAGGGCCGCTCCGAGCTGTAGAGGCGAGTAATCAATGAGTCCCAAAGGTGGCACCCATGTGGCATGGATGCTACATCAACCAGAACGGCCAAAAACAACACAACGTCCATGAAGCATGTATTTGGTGACAGACTCATATAGCATAGGATGGGTGGCAGGATCAGGGAGCTGGGCAGAGACAATTCGATCCACATCTTTAGCTCTCTGAATTTTGTGTTCTTGCTTCAAGAAAAGGAGAAGGTGCATATGAGGAAGCCCAAGCTTTTGAAACTCAATGGTATATACCATGCCAGCAACCCCTCCAAACAGGCCCTCTTTGATCTCCTTGAGCAAAGCCTTCATCTTTTGTGCAAAGACACGTGCCACCAAATCAGGACAATCAGAAGGATTCTGAGTTGTACCACTATCATATTTCAAGAGCTCTTTTTGAATCTCTGGCCAATTAGGATTTGCAGTCATGGTAAGGAAGATGTCTGGCTTATGACAATGGTGAGTGATAGCCATAGAGTCTTGGAAAAGCTGATACATATAATGTGGACTGCCTGCATAAGTGGAGGGAAGAACTATGCGCCTTCTTTGTTGGCCTAGGTTTATACCTGCTTCTGCATGAATGGCATCAAACAGTGACTGGTAATTGTCTGCCCTAATCTCCTTTTGATGGTTTCTGATCCAGAAAAGGTTGCTAGACTCAATAGATCCCCAAGCATCAACCATATATTGCTGAAATAGCTTGCCAGCTCTAAAAATAGTTTCAGGTTCAAGCAAACAGCGCATAAGACGATATGCATAATAACAGTGCTGAGACACCTTGGATGAGAGCATTTGGCCATTAGGTCCAGGATGAGCAGGAATATTGGGATGAAAGCCTTGTTCGCCATGTGAAAACAATATCACATAATGTAGGGGATTGTAGTGAGGGTGAAGATGGCTAAAGTGCTTTAGACCTCCATGGTTATAGTGGACAACAATATCTCTGTGCAAATCCACTTCCTCATCTCCATTTCCAGGTATAATAGCAGCAACCTCATCAACAGTAGGCTCATTATAGCAACAATGATTGGCATTAGGCAAGATTGTGATGCAAGCTGAAATCTTGTTATTCTCTCCAAAGTTCTTTTCTGCCAGGATTTGATAGACATGATGATACAAAGAAACATAAGGATTGTGTGTATGAAATAACATAAGGATTGTGTGTATGAAATATATCCTGCAAGTCATTCATGATTTCAGATCTTAAGTTGGCATTATTGTTATTGCGCTCATTAAGCACAGCCTGAGGATCAATAACATAAATGTTGTTTGTGGCCATTCTGGTTGATTTGGCATCCATGCCACATGGGTGCCACCTTTGGGACTCATTGATGACTTGCCTCTACAGCTTGGAGCGGCCCTATAGCCATTCCCAGAGCGGGTATATTGTTTTCTTTCTCTATTTGGACTGACTCACTTTGTTTTCACCTTGTCTCACCTTGTTTCAGTTGTTTCACCGGGTTAGCCGGCTGAGGCGGTCCTGTGTGATGTCATTGACACTCCGGACCAACCTCCAGGTAGAGCTTTTGACCGCTAGGTAAGGTGTTTCACCTGTAATGACCCGTTGATATCATACCTTCCTTTTTCGTTTCTTATTATTCTGTGTAGCTTAAATACCTGTGGTCCAAGGGCGATTCTTTCCTCAGACTCTTACCCTCTGGACCACAGGTGCGCTCTCCTCTGTTCTTTGTATCTACTTAGACTCTTACCCTCTGGACCACAGTCCTGTCATTATAGGGCTTCTTTTGGGCACTCTCTCTGTGTCAGTCGCTTCATTGTCATTGCACTCAACAATAAAGCTGAGCATAAGAGGGTTTGATATTGTTAGGTGGTAGCAAGCTTCCTATCTTATGAGACAGTTTCCCATGAATTTCAAATGAATAAGGCCCAGAAGTTGAGGTAACATGATTTGATAGCTTTGCAGCAATAGAAGTGAATGCAAATGCACTGTTATACTGCCTGATATGATCTCTAAAAAATTTTGGAACTGAACCACCTTCCCAAAGCAGTTGGCGCAAGGTTGGGGGAGGTTGTAAAAATGCAGGCAATCTGATCTAACCCTGTAAGCAACACATGCCAAAGTGAGGGTGGATATGACTGGAGTTGGTAAGGCATTCAGAAGAGAAATGGAGTGCAAGACAATGAGCACATTCTATATTCATAAGACCAAGGCTGTGACGTGCAATAGGCTCTTGATATGAACAATGACCTGGAGGCAGATTTTGGAGAGCCTGATGAGCCACTACAGCTTGATTATTTTGTTGGATAGCAAGGTTATGCTGATGTGCCTGTTCTTCAAGGTCTAGATGATGTGCCTGCTCTGCAAGATCAAACTGATGATGAAGGTGCTGCTGCTGCTGAATATCTTGCTGATGTTGCTAGTCAAAAATTGAATAATGATTATTCACTTCCTGTTGTCTTATAGAAGATGTAAGATGAGGAGGGTTATTGGGTTCAGGCCTTGTGCTTTCTCTACAATGATGTTTACATTCTGCATGAGTCCTTTCAAAATTCTCCATCATACGATGCTTATAATCAGGATGGCTAGCTACTGCAAGACATGTGCGAGCCTGTCTATCATGATTCCCAATCAAGTGTCATGGAAGATTAGGATAGGCAGAAACATTCATAGGCCAATAATGAGGTGGTGGTGCAGGCATTGGAGGAAGAGCATAGATAGGATACTGTCCAGGAATTTGGTAAGCCATAGCACCATGATGGATAGAGTGTTGGAACATGGGAGCAGGATAAAAGTGGGGAGGAACATATTGAGCAGGATAATATGATGGAGCAGAGGGAGTAGCAACTACAGAATAGTATGACTGGATAGGAGGAGCAAGTGTGGCAGGCTGGTGAAGCTGAATGGGTGGTGCAAGAGAAATAGGAGGCTGAGCAGGATTAGAAGTAGCATAATGGGAAGGTCTAAAGAGATTCTCAAAGACAGGCTGACGAATAGAGCCTTGTAATGCAGAACACTCACGCCAAAGAGTAGGAGAAGTCATCTGAAGCCTTTCAGCACACTCTTACTCCCACACAGTCTGGCGCTCATGCTTAGGAGTCCTAGGAGGAGTTTTTGTAAATCCCAAAATTGATAAACAAATTTTGTGTGATTTAACAAAAACTGCATACCTTGTCATAGTCACATCCACATAGGCAGCCTCTTCAATAGCCTCTTGGTTTTCAACATGTCTATAGTTTTTTCTTTTTAGCCAATGACCATAAAAAGGTTAAATAAAACCACATACCCATTGAGATTCTCAGGTGGAGGAGTCATATAGAGATCATCCTCATCTTCACTATTATTGGCATTCTCACTATAGCAAATATGAGTACACACAACCAATAAGCAAAAAGTAAAACACATACTTATGTACAGTCTCAGGTGGAGGTATCATATAGAGATCATCCTCATCATTATCTCTAAAGAGAATTTTAGCACTGAAACAGTATCCAAGCAACCCAAAAATACTCACAAAAGTGCCAATGCAGGCATCCAGACTTCCACCACACCCTTGTTAGGAAGCCTAAAAAAAGAATTGAGCACAATGGACATGATGCAAGCAACACAGACTTATAAAGGTGGAACACTCATTATAAAAAGCTAAATAAAAAAAAACACCTGCAAACAAAACCAAGAGCCAAGAGTAGTTGCCAAGCTAAGCACTTGCTAAATGCCCCCTCACAGTTCACCTGAAGAAATTGCTGCAAGACAGTGCCAGGGGAAGAGGATTCCCAATGCTCTTTGACGACCCAATGTCACCCGTTGTCTACAAAGCAGGTTGTTGTGACTGTAAGATTGTGGTAAAAGGTACCTGAGCAACTGAAACACCGCAGGATGAGAGAGGTCTAGGCAGCTATGAAAAGACTGCTTTTGGCTACAGCAAACTAAGGCAGTGCTGGTAGACTTCACACCCTATAGGCTTTTTCTAAGCAGAATCCGTGCTCAAAGACACCCAGTAGAGCAGAGTAGAGTTTGAGAGAAAAGCCAGTAAGGAATAAAGCAGAAAAGAGCATAGATGAGGGTCTGAGACAGAGATGATGATGGTTGATGGCAGAGATCAGGTATTGCAAGGCTCACAGCAGTCCCGGGCATGCATGCGCTGACTAACTCTGTTTCAAACTCCGACACACTCCGTTTTGCATCCCGAAGCCTATGGGACAGTGGTCTCGTGTGGTTTGTCACATGGGATTAGCTGACGGCTAGTTGCCACCAGACCCCTACTATCGCCCTCTATATAGAGATGTTATGGATGCTCTAGAAGCATGCAATCAGGAGGGTATGTTGTTTGTGGCCATTCTAGTTGATGTGGCATGAATGCCACATGCATGCTACCTTTGGGACTCATTGATTACTCGCCTCTACAGCTGGGAGTGGCTCTAGAGCCACTCCCAGAGCGGGTATATTGCTTTCTTTCCCCATTTGGACTGTCTCACTTTGTTTTCACCTTGTCTCACCTTGTTTCAGTTGTTTCACCGGGTTAGCCGGCTGAGGCGGTCCGGTGTGATGTCATTGACACTCCGGACCGACCTCCAGGTGGAGCTTTTGACCACTTTGTAAGGTGGACCATCTCTAATGACCCGTTGATGTCATACCTTCTTATTTCGTTTCTTATTGTTCTGTGTAGCTTAAATACCCAGACTCTTACCCTCTGGACCACAGGTGCGCTCCCTTCTGTTCTTTGTATCTACTCAGACTCTTACCCTCTGGACCACAGTCCTGCCATTATAGAGCTTCTTTTTGGCACTCTCTTTGTGCCAGTCACTTTGTTGTCACTGCACTCAACATAAAGACCAAGAATAAGAAATGTGGAGATGTTTGGGATGGGGGCATTTTGTTGCCCCTTTTTATACCTTTCTGGTTAAAGTGATCCCTAATGGGGTTTATTAAGGTACCGGCTATGGAATTCTCTTAGAGCATCTTCTGTTATTCCCTTTAGGAAAGCATAGGGCTCCCAAGTGTTATCTGCCTCAAAATATCCCTCTCATTTGACCAAATGCTTGGTTCCCTATCCCTATCATTTTGAGTCCAAGATCATCTCCACTCCGTAATGTTTTTTATTATTTAGTACCTCTAGTGGTGGTCTCATAAAGTTTTCCCCATGTCCTTCTGTTTCTTTATACTTAGTGAGCATGGTGGTGTGGAACATAGGATGGATTTTCCACTATTGGGAAATTTGTAGCTTATATGCCAGAGGTCCCATCTTTGCCAGAATTTTGAAAAAGCCATATTTTTTAGGGGTGGGTTTGAACTTGGGATCTATCATCCAGATATGGTTTTTTTTTAGCTATACTTGGTCTCCTTCCTTCCATTGGGGAAGTTTCTTATTAAGGTCCCACACTGGGGGACATTAGTAGTTCCTAGGGAATGAATAGGTGGTTATGTCCTATGCATCAAATTCTTTTTGGATTGGTATGTGGCGCATCCGTCCATATATTTGTGGACACATTTGGTTATAATTTGCCACCAATAGTGTTGTTGTATCATTTCCAAGGTTTTGGATTTGCCCAGATGTCTTATGGCTTGGTGTGTTATGGTGTGTCTTGATGATGAGCCTTTGGATTACGTCATCTTTGGGGACACATATATGACTGTTTTGCCTGGTAATTCCATTCTCGTGTGTCCATTTTCCTAGATATCCCTTCATTGTTTGTAAGCCTTCTCGAAGTAGTTTAGCAAGGGCCATATTTGTTAAGGTGTTGTGTTTTAATTGTGAGTGTCAAATAAGGGAAATAAGGTCCAAGGATATGATTTCTGTAGAGCTTTATTGTCAGATTCCGCCCCCTCACTTAGATCTGGACACCTAGACAGAATGATTGGTTGATCTGTTGAGCGCAGTGACAATGGAGTGACTGGCACAGAGAGAGTGCCAAAAAGAAGCTCTATAACGACAGGACTGTGGTCCAGAGAGTAAGAGTCTGAGTAGATACAAAAAACAGAAGGGAGCGCACCTGTGGTCCAGAGGGTAAGAGTCTGAGGAAACAATCGCCCTTGGACCACAGGTATTTAAGCTACACTGAACAATAAGAAACAAATAGGAAGGTATGACATCAACAGGTCATTAGAGATGGTCCACCTTACAAAGCGGTCAAAAGCTCCACCTATAGCTCAGTCTAGAGCATCAATAACATCACACAGGATCACCTCAGCCGGCTAACCCGGTGAAATAACTGAAACAAAGTGAAACAAGGTGAAAACAAAGTGAGACAGTCCAAATGGAGAAAGAAAGCAATATCATCTGGAAAAATACCCCCTTGTATTAGCTCTGGATTATATCTAATAGTATCTAAAAGTATCTAAAAGTGTTAATAGTATCTAAAAGTGTCTAATTTCCTAATTGGGAGTAACACATTATGAGCATTGGATTGGTTTCTAATTTCATGATATTAGCACTAATTCTATACTAAGAAGTCTCTAATTATTAGTAGGAAATAGTAAGTACTACTGCTCTATCAGTGAGAAGGTAAAGATGTGGCACATTCTATACTATTTCAGCATATTACTCTCCTTCATATATGCCTATACCATTATCTTGTAGCTCTTTTGCTGACTTTCCAGCTGCCTTTACAAGGGATATAGAAAGAGAGAAATATGCATTGATGCCCCCAGCCACTTTGTTGGCAGCTTAGCAGCTGCCACAAGAGACTATAAAGACCTCAGTACCTTGGCCTTGCACACAAGATGATTGAAGTTATCATTGTTAGCCAATGCCTGCTACTAGTCATCACAGGACACAACATGTGGGTTGGACTTAGGGATATACTATATGCAGCCTTATAGACCTTGTCTATTAGTATAGTGGCTAATACTGTCTTGTGCAGCACACAACCATCATCACTATTGATATTACAATTTTAGCACTATTTATATTGTTTATTGCCTCATTATACAGAAGATGCTCAAACTTGGTGTTTTCCTCTAGCTATTAGGCTGTGGAAAAGACAGTCATATGGTTATGTGGTGCCAGAATGATATATTTGCCTGCTATATAGGAAATATATGCATTAAGCATATTAAGATCATCTCCAACAATCTTGTGCTTATTTATATATAGGCATGCCATACATATGCTCTTGTCCCCATCCTCTACCTCACTAGTGGCTATTTAGAAAACCCCTCTCTCTTATTGGATCTTGATTATTCATAATCATGTTTTTGATCAAATTTGCAAATTCAAGTAGCATTGTCTACACTAGTAGAGTCCCATTGAATATTACACTCAATCATAGTTTTACACATTCTCAGTCTAAATTGTATGAGTGCCATAATTTGTTTTTATCCTATATAAAGTGTATTATTGATTTTCCATTGGTTTATTATCTTCTTAGCTGGTGTTTAAACTAAATCCTGAAAGACCTGACTTTTTAGGTATTTATTGACCTATTTATTCATTAGATAGAGGAAAGATAAATGTTGAATAAAATCAGAGATGTTGAGGTTGCCTATATTATGTCTACTTATTTAGATTACCAAGTTCATATCTTAGACCTTGTGGCTTAGTGGCTTAGAGCATCTGTCCTGGGTGCTTGCATACATGAGGTTATTGGTTCAACTCTGGCAAGAGGCAAGTTTGTTATAAGGTATATTCTGTGTTTAGGTATTGAACTAGTGCTCTAATATACATGACTCTATAAGAAGGCTATGAGAACTGTGATGCTTGATTTATTATGATTTTTCCGAAATTTCAAGTTATAATCAATTCTAATAATTCCTAATTTAGGAAAATTATGTCTAATTAGAACAGATTTAGAGGGGGGGTAAGCTAAAAATGTCTAATCCTAATTGTTCTTAATTATGCATAAATAGAACTAATTAGAGCTTAATACAAAGGGATGGTTTTCCAGATGATACCTGCTCTGGGAGCGGCTGTAGGGCTGCTCTCAGCTGTAGAAATGAAAATCAATGAGTCCCAAAGGTGGCATGCATGTGGCATTCATGCCACATCAACTAGAATGGCCACAAACAACATGATCCTGCTGCATAGCTGAGTATAAAGTCAAATCTGCTCAAATAAAGGCTCCAACAGGCATGTTTTTGTGACAGATCACAGGCTATTTGGAAATGTTCTAGATTTTCATGGTCTGTCTAGATCTCGAAAGGGTGTCATGCTCTTTTGAGGTAATGGTTCTAGTATTCCAAAGCTTTTACAATGGCCAATAGTTTGTGGTTATGGATGTCATAGTTCCATTTTGCTAGGGAAAACAATCCAGAGAAGAATGCCACTGGGTGCCAGTCACCATCCTTGTCTTCTTGTAGGAAGGTGGCTCTATAGGCAATTAATAATGCATCCATTATAAGTTGGTACAGGTGTATGGGGTCTAGATAGTTTAGGACAGGTTAGCTGATGAAGGCTTTCTTTAAGCATTCAAAAGCTTTTTGGCATTTTTCAGTCCAGTTCCATTTTTTGTCTTTCTTGGTGAGGTCATGTAGGGGGCGTGCAATAAGCAAAAATTTATTAATAAACTGTCTATAAAAGTTTTCCAAGCCTAAAAAAGAATAGATGTCTCAAACCATGTGTGGGACCGACCAGTTCTTGATTGCATCCATTTTGGAGTCTTCCATAGTAACATAGTCCTTAGAAATTGTGTACCCCAGGTAGTTGAGTTTTTCTTTGTAGAACTCACATTTTTATGGTTTCAGGTAAAGATTATTGTTCTGTAGAATTTGGAAAACCTGGTTTAGGATGTGGATATGTTCTGCCATTGATTTGGAGAAAATGAGGATGTCATCTATATATACCATTATTTTGCAAGCCATGATAAGTCCTTGGAAAATCATGTTCATCATGGCTTGGAAGGTTGCTGGAGAGTTAGTTAAGCTGAAAAACATTACTGTGGGCTTACATGATCCTAGAGGGTAATGAATGCAGCCTTCCACTCATTTCCTTCTTTAATATGTATATTGTTGTACCTCTATTGAATGTTCAGTTTGCTAAATATTGTAGCCTCTTTTATCATATCCAACAGTTCTTGGATTAGTGGAAGGGGCAGACATTCAGGATGGTGTGCAAATTGAGGTAGTGATAGTCCTGTACTAGGCATAGTTTTCTATCCTTCTTTCCTATAAAGAAGAATGAGGCAGCCATGGGTGATATGGACTGGTTAATGGTTCCCTTTGTGAGGTGTTCTTTGATAAACTTCCCTAGTTCATCATGCTTCTCAGGGCTCAAGGCGTATATCTTGGGTGTTTGAGGTTTAAATATGGGTTTCAGGTCAATAGTGTGATTCCAGTAGGTATGTTCCAGGAGTCATTGTGACTTTTATTTACTGAAAATGTCCAAGTATTTGTGGTGCGCCTTAGGAACCCTTTTCTTCAAGTTGGTGACAATGATCTCATCTTACAGGTCTTGGTTGAAGCTGGCAAATCCTAACGGTTCTGGGGCCAATTTCTGAATGACTAGTTCCTCTGTGGCAATTGTTTCTGAGGGTTTATCTGGAAGCTCAGGTTCTTCCTTGTTTAGTGAAAGAGATGGCTTGAAATTGGTTTGAGCATATTGTTTCTCTTCTGCATATTCTTTTATGTTCTGTAGGAGCCACTTTCTTTTGAGATAGGCTCATAGTTAGACACCAAATATTCCACTATGGTTACAGAGTCCAATATCCTCTAATATCCTTCAGAGGTGTTCAAGGCGCTGTTTTTCACACTCATTAATCTATAGCTTATGGCACAATTCTCTGTGTGTTAGCTAACTGCTGTTGGGTGGCTTTTCCTTTGCCCTAGTAAACTCATGTGGTTAGTGGCAATTCTAGGGATACCGATCAAAGTGTACTTCATGTCGTCTCCACTTGATGGAGGGATTGTAGTATTTCAGCCAATCTGTTTCTAGGATAAGGTCATCTTTCCCCAGATTGGAAATGAACATTTAAACATGTTCTGTGTGTGTTCATCCATAGATATCCCAAATTTTGAGGTTTATATCCAAGGCTGAGTAGATGAGGCCTGCTTTGTTTATTGTGTTGTTGATGTTGTGGATGTAAATAGGGTGATTGAGTGAATATATGGGAAAGTGGTGTTTCTTGACCCATATTTCATTTACTATAATTTCTTTGCATGCCAAGTTGATTGTTGCCTTTGCCCTAGCATAATGGGTCTGGTTTGAGACTACCATGTTTAAGCGGATGGGGGTAATAATGTGGCTATTCATTCCTCCAATGTGAATACACTTGGCTATGTCAAACTCAGGCCTTGCTTGACCTCTTTTCTTCGCTGGTGAGGAAAAGGTTAGGAAAAATGCTTCATGAATCCCAACATGATTTCTCTTTGTTTGTCTACCCCTAATTCTATAAGTACTGCTCTGACTCAAGCAGTATGACTGATTCCTCTATCCTCTCGTTGTCTATTAGGCAACATGATGCATTGCTAATAGTTCATCGAGGGTTGTTAGGATAAGGCAGGATGTGGAAGTTCTATTGAAGGACCAGGTTGTGGTACCCACTAGTCATTGCAATGAGCATCCTCTGTCTCCATTCTTTGATGTACTCCCATTTGGTTTCCCAAAGCGGGTGCATTGTCTTCTTCTTTAATATCAACCATGCAGTTTCTTTTCTCTATTTTACCCATGCATTCCTTTGAGTTTCCTCGAATTGGTTGAACCCCTCTGTGTGGTGATTGGCAGTTAGCACTGTAGTGTCCTAATCCTCCACAGTTGAAACACAAGATGGGTCACTTGCCATCAAATTTTCTCTTCTGGCTTTCAGTGTTATGTTTCCTCATAGTGTTGATGTCCATGATGATGACTTGGTTATTCATTCTGTGGGGGAAATTTGTGGAGTTATAGCTGAAGGCAGGTTGGATATAAAAACGATTCAGGAATTTGCTTTAAAAGGAGGTGTAGTTGGCAAGGATGGCTTTTTGAGTGCTTTTGGCTCTAAGTCGTCTATTTATTTTGTAGGCCATGTTAATCCAATCTTGGATTTTGTCCTTTGGTTGGACTTCCTTGTCATAGATTTTGTCCATGACACATGGGTCTAGCCCATGTTGGAAGTAAGGGACTTGCTCCTTCTTAAAGATATCAGCATTGGCAGCAATAAGAATGAATTGGTTGGAGTACTCGTCAATCATCATTTTTCCTTGGAAGAAGGCTATAAGTGCACTTTGTGCTTTGTTGGTTTTGCCTATTTTCCTAAACTGTAGTTTGAACCTTGCTAAAAAGTTCGCCTAAGTGCCTAGGTCAGTGGGAGGGTCTGCCCCCACCATTTTGAGGAGAAAATTCTCCACCCAGGCTCTTGCTATGCTATATCTCATGCATGAGAGCATAAGGGAGATTTTGTCCTGATCAGTCTTGTACCAGTTAGACTCTGCTATGAAAAAAGAAGGCATTAAAGCATGAATTTCTAGGATTCAATGTGGTCACCTGTGTAATTGTCTGGGAGTTGGACTTTTCCTCTTCTGGGTTGTACTGTTGCAGAAGGGCTATTTGTAGAAGTCAATGCTTGTCCCAATATGTTGGTGAGCAGTTGGTTTCAGGTATTAATCGGTGTTTGGTCTGGTAATAGGTTGGAGTCTGATTAAGAGGCTGATTTCTCTTGCTCTGATTCATTAGGGATTTCTGGTTCCAGATCTCTGTATAAGAGTGAGGGATCCCAATGATTCTCTGTTTTGTTCCAAATATACTCTTCCTCTGTTCCATCATTAAATGTGAAGTAATAATGCCCATTTTGGTATAAGCAGTTATCATGGTTGGGTAGAGCATCTCTGTTAGTGTCTTTGTAGAACCAATGGCCTTCTTGTTGCTGGATAGGACAATTGTTATGATAGAACTGGTTATTTATACATCCAGTGCCAGAGGGGTAGTTTTGGCCTAGGTCTTGCTCTAGAGTATGTGCAATAATGCTTTCTTAATAGGGGTCTATATCCCCACTAAGTAAGGTTGTGAGAGAGGGTATGGCAGCAAGCTAGAGTGTGAACAAGGTAGAGGCAGAAGAGTCTATTCTAGTGTTATGGACTGCTCATTTAGTAACCCAAGAGTAAGAGGTTCTTTCCTAGGTCATTCATAAAAGAAAAGTAGAGTGATGGTCTCAACTGTACATATAGCACAGGATTCAGATGTGTATTGTAGCATAGGCAATAAGAACAAAGACTGCAGTAGGAAGACTGTAGTATAACAAAAGAGAATAGACTAAAGAATGTTAGCCTATTCTATGGGCCTCTTGTACTACTTTAGGAAAGGGTGTGAGAACCCTGTATATGTACCTGTAGGTATTCTTTAAGTTGTTTCTCTCTCAGAATAACTACTCTTGCTTCTTTGCTTGTCTCCTTTCATCCAGGAGGACAAGGAGCTCCACACTCATGTGTAAGTAGTTTGTAAGGCAGGAAAGGATGCCTATTGCAACAGGCTCATAATACTCGACCAGTGACGCCCAGTGAGAATCCCCCCACGGCTGGTAGGACGAGGTAGGACAACATCGGAGCGTCCTACCTCGTCCTATCTCGTCCTCTGGCGTCATCAAATCTGGACTTATGCCATCAATCTATCCGAGCCTATATTGTGTCATCCAAAATTTCGGATGTTTCTATATCCTATCATCGGACCCTGTAGGAACTTCAGATATCTTAGTGTTTTAATGAAATAAGAATAAATATTTTTATTTTTATTTGTTCAACTACTAAAACATGCGAGAAAAAAAAACATTGCAGCGCAGGGCAATCACATGAACAACTACACGACACACAAACATTACTCTCGCGAGGAACTAGGCCCGCCGCCCGGCGCGCCTGCAATTCCATCATCGTGCTCCGAGGGGATGATGGTGAGTGCGTCCCGCTTGCGCTGTTGCTTGAGCTGCACAACCTTCAACCTATAGAGCTGCAAATACAAACATTAGATGGTGTGGATTGTATGAGCAAGCCGGGCACTCACCTATTTCGTGCTCTTGTCCACGGCCAGCCAGATCTTCATAAACTCTGCGAGGGTCGTTGGCCCATGCTCCTTCACATACTCTTTCATAAAGAGCAAGCTATGGAATATGTCAGCATGAGATGGAGAAAAGTAAAAAAAAATGTACCGATTGATCTGAGGCACCACCAGAGATGCACATATCTTTGGCTTCTGTTTGCCAGTCCTCTTTGTGCGCGTGGGTTTAGATCTTTTGGCAGTGTCGGTAGCATCGGTGACTTGAGCTGCCAGCATGGTGATGGAGAGAGAAGGGGGGAATGGGCTGTTGAGTGTCAATATGCGCGAGACGATGATAGTGGGTGTCGGTTTATCTGTCAATGGAGTGATTTTTCTGCTGTAAGAAAAAATCAGGTTAGTGGAAGAAGAGTGAACAAACATCACATTACTTATAACGGGTCCATGATCTTGTGAGGCGTGGCGGAAACAATACCGATGAGATAAGTTTGAATCAAAGAGAGATAGTACTCACCACTATGGCCGTAAACGACTCTACCATATCTGAATGGAACCCAGGAAAGTCCCCTTCCCGTTCCTTGCCTCTCAATGGCCCCATGCGCAGAGTTGAAAGTGCTGCTTTGGCCGGGTCCAATACTTCCATGATCCCAATGTTGATAGGCGCATGTGGGGCTACATGTGCTGCCCCTGGGGCTGATACAACCATATCTTGCCAGTACAAAGGTACGATCAGTGACAGAAATAAGTTCAGCTCAAGCACATACTCTTACATATGTCCATGTCTGTATCCTCGTGGTCCTTGTGGCAACCCGAGCTGCTTGATGTCCACGGCACGTCCATGTCTTTCTTGTTGCGGTACTCGTGACCATCCACTCCGCTTGGATATGATGGCAGATCACCATACATATCTTCGAGATCGTCGACTGGCTTGGCAGGGGGTTCTAGCTGGGGCTTTTCAAGGGGGGGAAGCGAGCATGGAAGCGGACAACAGACTATATGCACCTGTGAGTTTTCCTTCTCGTTCCCATCTTCTCGTTGAGTTTCTAATCGTCCTCGTTTTGTAGCAAGTATTGGTGCACCAAGGCATCGTTTGGAAGGCCGCGTGCCTTCTACTGCGCCTTCCTCAAGCTTGACAAGCTCACGCTTCCTGCTGTGGCTCTCATACCATTTTGGATAGTCGTTAGTCACAATGTATTCAATTTTCCAATTATCTTGACAGAGCCGGAGCTCAGGATATTTGCTGTGGAGTCTTCTAACAAGGAGGTCGTGTGCCCTGACCGAGGCATTGCCCCACTTGATGGGAGCAATCCTGTCCTGCATAAGTTGTTCCCAAACCTTGCGACAATCCTAACGGATGGCGTTGACCTATGCCTTGTTAATCACCCGACCATCAGCATGCACAACAAACCTCATAGTTTTGTTTTTTCCCTCTCTTCCTCATCCTCCGCAGTAAACTCATCCCGCTTGCTATACCCGTTGCGTGTCTAGTAGGCCTTGACCGTGGCATTGTTGTAGGCGGCTAGGTCAAGCTCTGTGGAGGCAGGATTGCTTGGTGCTGTACCGACGTTGATAATAGATGCGAGTGGTGATACATGCGTGTCAGCCACGCTCCCCGTAATGAGGCTGTACACTTGTGGCAGGGCCTGAATCATTTTGTTGAGGAGGTCCCTGTATTGAAAGTGAGCAGGGTGTATATATGTGTTGAAAATACATACCTGGATGCTTGCAAATTTGCTTTCAGTGCAAGGCAAGTTGTCTTCAATTTTTTGTGATTTTCAAGGAGCAATTTGAAGGCAGAATTATTGAATCGAAGGAGATCTTCAGCGGTTGCGTTGTCCCGTGTCAGTTGGCATGACCATGATTGCGTTGCCGGTGGTGTGAAGATCTAGAGAAAGTAAGAAATGAAACTGGCTGTCAAGATATGATATTACCTGTGATTGTAAGCTGCCGATGTGAGGGGAACGAGTGCTCTTGGGGTGCAAATGAGAGACTGGGCTATGGGTCCAAGGAGCAGAAAGGGAAGGAAGGTCAGGCAGATTCACAACAGAAGATTTGGCAGAGTGGGGGACATCGAGATCCCTTAGCAAAGGGAGGTCCGAGAGGGGGGACGGGAGATGGTGTTGGGAGAACATAATGGAATGTCGACATGACGCACAAGCAGCACAATGGCGCTTGCGTATCATGTGATCATGACGACATGCCTCTGCTACCATGCTCCCGCTATCCATCCCCCTTTTGCATGCCCCATCTCTGTCCCAGTGCGTGCAAGTGTTTGCTGTCATGTTAATGCCACGCGGGGGAGCTCTAGATGTTGGTGAGCTCATATGAGCTAGGTAAGAGTCCTCATGCAATGCGACGCATGAGCTGGCACCTTATTGATGCACATGCTAAAAACACTCAAACCTGGTGCAATTTGTGCAACTCAGGGCTATTGGTTAGTGAGTGAGTCCCTCTCTCATCCTCCCGCATTAACATTGCATAGCATGATGGCACCCGTGTGCAATGCGAAGGAGCATGTGGTACACAACCCTCCTCCTACTGCGCACACTCCCATAGACTGATGGGCATGGGCTTGCACATCCAACATATCTTCGTTGTCCATCTCCTCCAGGACCCTGCCCAAGCCATGGTGCTTGACATTGGCATGCGTGCGATGCCGTATGAGGTGGCCACGCTCATGACGGAGGTTGTTGTGGTGTGCAAGAGCCACCAGGGTGTGTGCCCACGGCTGGTGGGGGACCATAGGGGCATCATCTACGCACATATAGAGTTATCGCATTTTCTTTTATGTCTCACTTGTAGCAGTCTGCCATGTATTTAAGTAATCTCAGTTGAATGATGAGATGGTTACCCGTCTGCTGTAATGTGTGATCTGTTAGTCGTGACAGACAGTCAATTCAAGGGAGCAAAGAAGATGAATTTTGAACATGTGAGTGCGTATATTCATGTGTGCGCTTGCACTTCAACTAATTACAAGGTATCCTCTTCCTTGTCATCATCATTATTTCCCTCTACATCATCTGGTTGCCCAAGAACACCCATGGCCATCCCAACCCTTTCCACCACAGAGTATACCATATTTTTGCGGTATACATTCTCGGCCTCCTTTGCAAAAGGAATGATTGATACTATGGCCTCGATGTCAGTCACCTTGACAACTCGGATGCCTTCATTGCCTAAATGACATCATGTCCAAACTGTCCCATATGAGGACTTGAGATCATCCTGATCTGGAGGAGAAAAAAGGTGTACAAGTGCAAGGGCATGGATCTAGTCCAGAATCTTGTACCAGAAATAGAAGTCCACCTTTGCAAATTCAACAATACCTTGTGTTTGGAGCTAGAATGTGCATAAGATGATAAATATGAACCAGAGGCTGCAGCAAGTAACACACCTTGATGCAATGTGCAATCCTTGTCTCAAGCAAAGCCTTTGCTTGCTCTTTCCATGCAGAGCATGCAATATGACCATTGGGAAGAAGAAGATGTGCCCACTTGTATGTCTTTTCCATCACCCAATTTGCTGGCAGCTCTGCACCACACTCTTCAAGATAACCCCAAAGTGCCAGAGATTCAATCACAGGGAAGAGACGAGTGGTACAATCATATGCACACAATAAGACATATCCATCAGCACACACCTGTGATCTGTGTGGCAGAGATGGCTTAGCAGGCTTCAGATCAGGTACCATAGCCTTGAGTGTATTAACCTGAGAGTGCCAAACACCATGCAAAGAAAGATTTTCATATGGATTTGATAGTTGTTTGACCTCCTCACCAAGATTCCCAATAGTTCGCTCCATCGTTCACTGAGTGTGATAGATAGGTGGTCCAATACGAGGTATCTCAGGAGCAATATGAAGGACAGCATGGATACAAGGGCACATAAAATAGAGACGCGAAGTCTTGCGCTGAACATAGAGCTCCTCAAAGCTCTTGTGAAAATCTGTGAGATGCTGGTGAGCTTCAAGAAGCTGGGTGTGGGTGATAGAGTGCTGATGAATGAGCCAAGTGCCATAGACAAGATGACAATAGTTACGCCAGTAGATGTTGGGTAGAATACCTCGTAAAAGTGCAGGACCTATACCAAAGACATAGAGCATCCACTCCCAAGCCTTGTACCCACTATTCATCTTCTCAACAGGATTCCGCGGTGGACAGTCAAAGAGATCAGGAATGAATGAGCGGCAGCGAGCAACATCAAGACCATGGGCCACCCATATAGGACCCCGCAAGACAGCCCAATCCCAAGAGTGCAGCTTGTCAAGTGGATCACAACGCATAGTACCTGTCCAGAGCATAAGAAGGAGTTCAGTGAGGTTGAGGCATACAAGGTGCATGAGGTTGGCAGGAAACATGGAAGGAATGCCTAGAATAAATTTAGAGGACAGTCCAGATAAAATACTCGGCTTTGCAATCCTAGTTAATTTTTGCCAAAACTCATACTCCACATCTGTCTTCGATTGCAGAAGCCAGGCCAGATTAATGCAGTATTCCTTTTGAGAAATAGCAGGAAAATTGGTGGCATCAATATCATCGTGATCGCAACTAGCAACAGTGAAATCATCAGGTTTTAGGAGAGCAGGATAATACTTTGTTGCCCCAGGTTTACGCCGCCCCTGTATTGGACAGTAGAGTCGACAGCAATACATCCCTTGGTGTCCCACAAAGCCATTGACTGTAGCAATCCCTGATCCATCCACAAGGACAAGAGCAACAAAAATCAGAAACATAACAATGGTTGTAGTCAGTGAGTCCCAGACTGGGAGACCTTTCTTCTGTAGTGCCAAGATGTGATGGAGACCAGGATGGAGGAAAGAATCTAGATTTTTTGGATGATTAGGCCTAGGAATAAATCCACCAATAAGAACATGCTTTTTCTTATAGCGAAGGTCAGGAGGAAGGTCTAGGATCACCCAGATATAAATCCAGCAGTCAGAAGTCTTATGCTCATACAATCGGTACCTATAAAGCGATAGCATGACCACAAAAGAATTCTCAGTGATATCGCCATTAGCAACCCGGCCAAGATAATCAGAGCCCAAGTAGAAATTGTCAAAGCAATCAAGGTCAATAACCTTTTTACCATGCTCGTCAAGCATGAAGTTGTCAAGGATGTGCTGTGTTGTGCAATGCTGATGCCCAACATTATAAGAGCTGTCATTGGACCGCTTGAGTGCCTGAAGCTGCGGATCTAGAGGAATGGTATGAAACTGTTGCCTAGGTACCTTCTTGTTAGTCTGCCCAGCTTTAAGAGGATTATATCGGAACAATGAACATTCCGGACAAGATTCAAGGTCTGCAAAGGGCCCAGTATAAGCAAGACATGAGTTTTGGCACATGTCATGCATCACAGACGAGACTCCGCTAAGTTCTGCCACCTTCCGTTTGACCTGATCCAGTGAGAATCTGGTTGTTCGGATTTTGTTCCATACAAGCATCTCGCATAATGGTGTAAACCTCCTCAGAAGCAGTCAATGAGCCGAGGAACATTTTGATCAAGCATCGTAAATTAGGGTCTGTCATATCAGCGCAATGTTGCAAAGGGGTACAGAGACGCTGGAGAACCAATGGCAGGAGGCTGTTATTATCTAGGGTGGCATTCTGGAGAGATCGAATGAAAGTGAGCGAGTTCCTGAGCAGTGGGAGTGGATGGCCGGCGGAAGCGGCAGCAAGGATCGCTTGAAGCTGCAAATTAGGTAATTCAATTTCTGGATCATCAATAGAGGTTAAAATATTGATTAGTCTGAGAGTGATACAGAAAAAATGGACCTGGGGTCTGTGAATAGTGCAGGTGTGGCCCTGGCGGAGATGGGCTGCAAGCGGGAGGCTGTGGCTCGACAGAATGGTCACGCGGGTCTGAATCTTCCTGTAAAAGTAGATCCTCAATAGCCTGTATAAATCAAAAGAAAATGTAATTTTTTTTGGTCAAAAAAACGAGGGGAATGATTAGGGGAAGAGGGAGACATACCGAATTTGCTTGTCCTCTCGGAGACTCTGCATGCATATTGAAGGCGCCAGCGGTCTTCCTTCTCTTGTCTCGATGCTCCGAGCTGTCATTGTTTGATGTCTTGTTCAATGTGGAGGGTCCAATAGAGGGTCTTGCATCGTGAATCAGTTGCTGCTGGAGGTGTGAGTACCGGGTCGATCTGGCAACATGCTTGCCACCAGGGCCTCGCAACAAACAAGCAGGACACTTGCATATAACCCGAGAGTCCGGCTCCATATGTGAGGTGATAAAAAATAATTGCTAGCGCATATATTGAGAGCGCACAATTGTGTGAAGGGTGTACTAGCAGAAGATGCGAGGCATCGCAAATGCTACGTGTGTGTCACATGGCCACGATGACCTGCAAGCTCCTAAGTCATCTTTGCCATACCACTCCCCTTTGTGAGCCACAGCCGTGTCACTCATCAGCTAGGCTCTTCCCTGTATTCATCTCATGCCACCTATTAATCAAATGCCTGCCTCCATATGTGCCAACCAACTGAGCACATAGCAAAGGTAAGTGCTCGGTTCGTCTCACATCTCTTCATGTGCCCCGATGCACCTCTGTCCCTCTCCGCTGCCTCCACCCCACCTCGCCACTGGACCACTTCTTTGTGTATGCCCTCCATCAGAAACGACTCCGACTCACCATCACCTTTGCCTCCCTCTACTTCCTCCAGTGACTCAAGGCCCACTTCCCCACCGCCAAGGGCTCCTCAGGCCACCATTTATTTATCTCAGCATTCATGATTGCCTCCAAAATTATCTGTGATGACACCTATTCTTACAATGCCTGGTGCACCGTGAGCCAGGGTGTGCTTACCCTCCGCAAGATTAATCAGATGGAGCGCAAGATGTGCAATTATCTTGGGTGTCAGATCAATGTCAAGCCCTCGGTCCTGTGCAATTTTGAGCCGTAGGTACGTCGTTACTTTGCTAGTTGTAGAATTTTAACATTTTCTTCAGATTATCTTGCTCCTGCTATCACCCTCCTCTTTCACGCACTCCATCCCTACCCCATCTCCACCTCCTTCCCCATGTTTGGCCTGCAGACACCCTTCAGCACCGGCAAGGTGCAGGGCGACTCTGTGTCGCTGTCGTTTCATACACTCCCCTCTGCATGCAAGTCCGGGTCGACCTCCCAGTCACCCACATCACCTGCCGCCGCTTCCTCCACCCTCTACACCTCCACACATTCCTTCGGGCTGCGTACGTTCTCTTTCAAGTCTATGCAGCCCAGGTTCATGCACTAATCCACCTTACACACACCCAATTCCGAGATGCCCACCCCGTCGCACTCAACCTTGACATCCACCCCTCCTCGCATGTACCCTTCACCTCAGCCTCAACCTTTAGGCTGCAGATGTCGTTTGTCAGCTGCTCAGCCTTGACATATAGACGCTGGTCATAACTCATCTTCGGTGCCCAACCAGCATGAAGCCAGCCTGCAACACATCTCATTTGCAGGAGCCACTGATACGCACCTGCCATGCGCATATGTAAGTTCCGCGCATTTTTTGACTTTTCATTTCTTTACTTGCACATCTATTGAATAGTCCCTCTGCTACCCACTAATGATTGTGTATGTAATGTAAATATAATGGTTGCAGGTGCTCGTACTTAGAGTGCCAGCGAGTGCGCGAGGACAACACAGACATGAGTCGTGCCAAGTCGCGTGGGTCACATGATAAGAAATAAAAGTCTGCGACAGAGAAAATGATTCAGAAATACAGAAGGTTGAAAAAACCAGAAGATTCTGTATAGTTTCTCAGTTCTTTCAGAAGTTTTTGACAGCAAAATCTCTTTTTTCCTACCAGCTCCCACCTGGTCACATTTCCGTATGAAGTTTCCTACCTCGTCCTACCAGCTGTGGGGGGATTCTCACTAGGAGTGATGGATGATCCACTAGGAGTGGATGACCAAAGATAATATCTGTACCTTCATATACACCTTAGGATATGAGGCCGCCTGGTAGTTGTGATCATCATATCAGAATAGACTGCCATGAAGGCCCGATAAGTTGTGATTATAACAGTTGGCCCATATAAGACATGGTAATTTAAGTAAGCTTTTGGCAACTTTGTTCACATTGTCTCAGTAGCAAGCATAACAATGACACATGACAATTATTCCACTGATCATAGCCACTTGTAATTTCTGTTGACATGTCCTAATATTATAAGGCATAATATTTTAGATGAGCTCTAGCAATTTTCTTCGTATTGTCTTAGTGACAAGCACAACAATAGCAGCTAACAGTCAGCCCATTTTTAACTGAGATTATGATAACTACCAGTGCTATCTGCCTAGATAATCTATGACACTTTGGAATGTTTTTTGAATGTTATTTTTTATATTGCTTTAGTAGTAAGTATAATAACAATACCTAATAGTTAACCTCTTTTTAACTGAGTTTATGGAATCCACCAATGCTATTTACCTATGTATTACATGACCACTCAGTATATTATTATTTTAGGGTTGATATATATTATATACATTTTATAACCTTACTAAGGTTTGAAATTGTCTCCTTAATTTTCTAACCAATACTGGCCTGTTTGTATAATGATATCTACAAAAAGAAGAACAATAAGCAAATTTAATATAACCTTCTTGCCAATCAATATTAGGATTATAATACTTAAGCTATTCATATCTAATAAAGAGATTGGTTTTGCCAAGTTTGGCTATTGCTACAATCATCTGTTCCTTACACTACTATTAGTCTTTTGTATAGAAATTAGTTTAATGATTTTTTTAGTGCCGATATTATTTTTTCTAGTAAATTCTATTAATAGTATTGTGCTAGTACAATCTGAGTCTAATAATGCTTTTACTGCAAATTTTCTCTGGTTATTGAATTAGATTTAGTCTACTATAGGCTTATTAATAGGTTTTCTCTTAACTTGATAATACACTTTATGTATCTTAAGTTGTCTCATAATACTTAGCTCTCCTACTAAGGTTTTGATTCTTTTTCTTATATCTACAGTCTTGTCTAGTTGAATAGTATTATTTGAATGAATAATAAATACATTGGAATCTTTAACAAACAAAGTAATATAAGGGTTAGCAGAATTACAGACTATTTACTCACTGACCCTAAAACAAACCTAGCCCAGTCAATAATTTCTTGTGGTCTTGCTCTTATAGTCTATCAATAACTCACCTTATATAGGTCTTAGTGGATTTCTATAGCTTTGTTGCATAATAAGTGGCCTTTTTATTATAACCAAAACACAGTCCCTTATAATAGGCTCTTTTAATATCCATTGGCTATTCATGTTCTCCAAATATAATATTAGTGCTATCTCTTTGTGTTTGTACTAGAGCCATTAGTTGCTTAGGTATTTTCTTTGCTTTTTCAACTGGTTGTCTCTAGTTTAGTATAGAAGAGCCCTTTGTGGAATTTCTAGAACCAAAAGTCTTATTGACTAATATGAGCCTTCTTTTTAAAGTGTCCAATATTATTATATATCCTATAGTCTTTAAGAGTGTTAGATAGGAAGCCAGATAAGTAGACCTTTTTGATCAGACTAAACTTCATGTTTTACTCAATTAGATTAATTAGGAAGTACTTGTGGTCTATGCTGTACTCTACTAACCTTGATAGAATATTGAATTGTTGGAAGAATTTTTCTGCTATCAAGTTCTCCTAGCAAAGTTTTACCCACTTGTCTTATACCATTTTTTATATATTGGGGTTAGCAAAGGCAGACTTAAGCTTTTTTTCAAATGCTACCTAGGTTTTCTAATTAATAGGATCATGCTCTGAGCTTTTGTTAATATAATTGTGTATCTAGGCATTTGCTATTTCTTTGGTTATAGAGAGGAAAAGGATTATCTCTTGTTTGTTATAAAGTCTTATTTATTGGCTATAATATACAGCCTAATTAAGCACTTGAATCAGTCTATATCTTGTTTATCCTATTTTTCTAGTTTTGCAACATAGACTTTTCTAGTTGTGGTGATAGTAGTAAGAGTGGGAGCAATAGAGATAACTGGAGTAACTGGAATAGTAGGTGGATTTTAGGATTTGTCTTCTTTCATTGTAAGTCATTGAAGTTTTTGATTCTTTAACTAGATCTCTATTTTTGTAACAATACTAGAAATTATTGTCTTTGTTAAAAAAAATTCCTTGCTCTTTGTGAAACCAGGCATTGCACATTTTTACTGATTTATGTAAAGGAGGTTAAGATTGTATAAATAAAGTAAGGTTTGATGAAAAAAGTGTGTGTTTAGAATATGAAGAAAAATAGGATAAAGATTGTGGTGTTTTGAAATCTAGTGTGACCAATTAGAATACACTAGCTCAGACTGGTTAGATCATAAGATTGAGGCAACACTCTTTGATATGTATTCTAAAATAATATAATTTGAGTAACTACTTATGTGCAGTTTACAAAGCAAATATTGTAGAGTCTATTTTAGCTAGGTTAACTACTAGACAGAAGTATTCTAGACCCCAAAGTGCTCTTTTTTATATAAGATACACATCTAACTATTTAGAGCAAAATATATAGTAGCCATCTACTATTGTAATCTTAGATAATATTGCAAGTGTTTTTTTTGATACCAAAATATGAGTTTGTATCATACATAAGTACATACCCTAGTTATACTATAAGAAAGGAGTGATAAAGGTAATATTCTAAGGGTATAGATAAGATAGATATTCTATCATAAGAATTGTTATATAAAGAGGTTGAGGTCAAAGGTTATAATAATAAGAAATGATGCAAGTGTGGAAATAAGAAAATAAGTGACATGATAGTCTCATTTAGTAACACAAGTAAAAGAAATGGGCAATATTATAAGGAGCTTTGAGCTTGTATTAACAATAACTCTCTATTTTCAGACACTCACTCTACTATTTTAGAAAAGTAGAGGAGCTTAGAAGGGTAAAAATCAAACTAACTCAAAGCTGGGGATATATTGCTAGCTATACTACTCTATATATACTATTTACTTTGTGCGTAAACTATATAGCTAAACATAAGAAAGTATGTATTATATAACTATTTAAGCAGGTATATCTAAATATAGACTGTAGGATAGTATTATGTAGGTAAGTCATATGAGTGGTCAATTATTGATAATGGTATATAATCTTATAATTAAGTAAGAAAAGAAAAATAAATAAATTTTATGCTAAGTCATAATAATTATATCCCTCTTAGCTATAGCTACATAAAGTAAGATTAATTATAGACTATTAGAGTGTATTTGTAAGC